AGGATTTCCTCTGTCTTAACGTTATCTGACCAAACCATAACACTATGGTTTAGCTGTACTGATGCAGTCTTTAGTGTATTACAAGGTAGACTTGGATTACCAGCTGCCCACAGTATGTAGCCCATTATTTGGCTGCTACAGAGACATGTTTGATGTGTTAGTTGACACCAAAAATGTGAACCTGTTGCCAGTTTGTTCATTAAAATGTTTGTCTCTCTCTCTCTCTCTCTGTCCATGTATTCCCTTGCAGGCTTTCTGTCGCTGTCCCTAGCAGACCAGATGTCTGTACTGCAGTCTGTGTGGCTGGAGGTGCTGGTGCTGGGTGTAGCATATCGCTCACTCGGCTGTGAGGAGGAGGTGGTGTTTGCAGAGGATTTTGTCCTTGATGAAGAGATGTCACGGGTTGCAGGACTGACAGAGCTGAATGCAGCAATTAGTCAACTTGCCCGCCGTTTCCGGGTGCTAAATGTGGACCGGGAGGAATATGTCATGCTAAAAGCCATCGCACTCACTAACTCAGGTACTTAAACCTGTGAACAGTTGTGCAGATGTACTGATTATACTGAGTAGTTTGACAGTCCACCATTTATTTACACCTTATAGAACAGTTATCAAACTGTCTACTATTCTCTTGTGGTATTAAAAGAAGTTGGTGCCCCCCACTAACCCTTACGTCCATTAGAGATCTGCTCAAAATTACTTTCAACACCGGTTAATCTAGCATGTCCTGCTTGTGCTACAGATCTACTGTATCGTTTATAAATAGAGGCTGCCATTAGTTTTAGATATTTAACATGATTCTGGTAGTTGATATTTGTGGTGAGTTTTTGAGCAACATAGACACGAAAGCTGAGAATATGTCAACACCCTACACACTGTCTTACCATGTGCTCCCTGCTGCTCTGTCAGACTCGGTTTACATCGAGGACATGGAAGCTGTACAGAAGCTGCGAGACCTCCTCCACCAGGCCCTGTTGGAGCTGGAATGTCAGCGACGCCCTGACGACCCCCAGCGGGCAGGACGCCTCCTTTTAACGTTGCCTCTCCTCCGACAGACTGCTGGTCGCGCTCTTACCACATTCTACAGCATTAAGACCCGTGGAGGTGTACCCATGCACAAACTATTCCTGGAGATGCTGGAAGCCATGATGGACTCTCCCTAGAGTAGCAGGAGTAAAGTGGATGGAGAGAAAGGCCCACGATGGTTTATGAGGTTTTATTATGGATTTAATAATAATGAAAATGGCCGTTTTTACCCTTTAGGCTACATGAACAAAGAATAGGAACAAGAGAAAAGAAATAAAACTTGTGTATTGTCCCTTAGTGGGAACTGATTATTTACAGAAAGAGGTAACTGCCAAACTTCAGTCAAAGGCTCCAAGATCCAAGAGTGAAAACAATTAACATAAGTACCAGAATGCTTCTCAGTTTCAACTGCTGTGTTCCATCACAGCGTCAGTCTGCAGTTGCATAACCACTGAAGAGCAACATGTCAGTACTCATGAACAAACTGTTATCATGTGGCTTTTGAACTCTTTTAAATAATCATCTACTCATGAAAGCCATAACAACATCTCTGGCAAAAGACTTGAGGGTCCAGCATAGGGTTAGATTGTCGTGCACATTGAGTGCTTATATTCACTATAGTTTAGTGTGCTGCTGTTGGCAAATTCATTGGAATTGCTTGCAATATGTTAAAAGCAATATAATGACTCGATTATTGTCTGTCACATTTAAAATGTGGATAAAATGGTGAGACATCTGATTGTGTGTGCGTGTGTGTATACCAGTAGTTCCCCACTATCAGGACCCCAATTGCTGTTTTGGCTTCTCGTAAAAACTGGTTTTTGGATGGACAGGAAACGATTTAGAGACCTGGCACGAGAGAAAACCAGTAGTACTTTGGGGGTTAAATACTGGCATTGGGAACCACTGGTGTGCACAGTAGGTGCATGATTCTTTATAAAAGGTTACACAGTTGATTTGCAGTCCAGAAGAGGTGCATATGAAGATTGTGTGCTCTACTTGAAAGGTAATATGTTCATGCATTGCATGAAAATCCTATTGGCGCATACACACAAAATACAAGTAAGCTTGTGCAGTCAAAACCAGTGGGTTATACTGAGATCAGGGAAGTACACAACTCTGACAGAAAAGCCAGTGTGGCAACATAAGTGGTCAGAAAAAAATGCATATGCCTCATCTGCTTTTTTTTATATTATCCTCCACTAGATCTAACCACTGTTTTTAACTTCAGCAGCTGTGGTCTGATTTATGTGGCCTGTTTCATTTGTGGGATATAATGTGTTACTCTAATCCATATGTATATGATATGATTGATAGGTTTATGATGAGATTTTACTGCATTTTCTGCAGTAATGAAAAATGTTGCATAAAAGACCTCTGCCGTCTCAACGCGAGAGCTCTTCTTTCTGTTTGTACATGTGTTGAAGTTTAACTTGCCCGTACAAAGCTCAGGGCAACAAGAAATGCAACATATGCAGCATCTTCCTTTTGGATGTTGAAACCTTGTCTGAAAATACCCTGAAAGTCCTACTCATTGTCCAGTAGGCTTGTGTATTTACAGTCTAAATGATCACTATATTGAGCTTCACATGCAATGCAAAGGTACAGTATCTGATGTCAAAATCAGCTCCGTAGAAATAACACTTAGTGGCCATAAAGCCATTAATCTTTTAGCCATGTACAGTTCCATTTAAGTAAACAGAAACATGCAATTTGTAGTGGAACATAACAAAGCCAGCAAATGCCATACAGATTCCCCATTATACTTATATTTGTGCAGCTCACAGTGTACTGAAATTTGTAAAGACTTGCTTTTTCATACATTTTTCTTTCTAGGGTTTAGGGTATTTTATTGATATTGTGACACAGTTGTGGGTTTGGTGTTGGAATGAAGCTTTCCATTCGTGATATTATGAACACTAGTTATTATTTGCTTTTATGTAAGCAGTTGTGTGTTTTCTGAAGCTGACTGTCACTTCATCAATTTCCATGGCTCTATGGATCCAGCTGGATGGTGAGGGTACAGAGGGCTACCTCAGGAGGCAGAGTAAGCCAGATGGCCAAGTAACTGTGGAGATGAACATAATTCTTGATCTTTTGATTTGTCAAATGAAATCTGAATATTAGGCATATTGAATGTCTTGCAGTTGTGCAGCCAACCAAGGCCCTTTTCATGCTATGTGAGATGCCTCCTGGTACAAAGCGTCACACACTGAAGGGCTGTGGTTTCACAGAACAGATGGTGTGGCTTGAAAACACTGGAGGTCTTGAAAAGAGTTCAACTTGTAACACACTGGTGTTATTTTAGCAACAGCGAGCACTGTGGAGCAGGCATTGATGTGTCTGCCGAAATGTGACTCTACACCTGTTTTGTTTTGTTCTCATATGCTGCAGCTTACACATTCATGTCATCTAAAAAGGTTTATGGTCCGTGATTTATTTACTAACCTACCTTCTCAAATCAGATTTTTAAAGTGAACAAATAAATATAGAAGCCTCGGTTGAGAGCTGTTAAAACTGTCATTAAAGTAAAGGTACATTTTTTTCATTAGCGTACAAATATGTCTTGGGGACAAAGGGTTTGGGTGAAGGCAGGGTCAACTGCAGTGTCACTATACTATCATTTGTAGCCTCTATTAAGTATGTGCGCATTAATATAAATGAGCAATACAATAAATTACCAGACCTCACACAGCTCCTTGTATAGCCACCAGTGTACATTTAACATAGTCAGTTATGAAGAATAGATACTAAACATATTATTTAGAAGTTCAAATCAATGTTTGTATTTTGAAACACTATTTAAATGATTAAATTCTATTTTTTACTCAATTTACTGTTGTTTGTTGACACCGTTTTATTTTTATGTGTGATATTGGCTGTGAATTTCTGTGCGTAGGCTTTTTTCCCCATTTAGATGAAACAGTTTGTCCTTGTCTAAACATGTCCACATAAAAATCACTGTGAAAAAAGTGAGATCTTCCGCTGTGTGACATAACCGGAAGTGGATTATTGTAGGTGCTTTGTGTTGTGTAATAAACAGACACACCACCACCACATGTCATTCGTCTCATCTCTTGTTTATGTATGTGTATTTGTGTGTTTTGCATTGCATGTAGATGGGGGTAGTTTGATGAAACTTTCAATGCACTTTTTCACATTTCGACACACTTTTAACTGATAAATGAGGGACAGTCCTTCAGAGGTTATGTGGAACCTAAACACTAAACAGACTTGACATATGTCGCTGGTGAGCAGGAGACATGAATACAGCTGACTGTAGGCCTTTACATGACCATTCCCATGGATGGATTACCTGATCGTCCTACCAGGCACAGGGGGCCCATGGGCTTCTGTGTGAAGTGACATACTAGTTTGAAAGTTACAGAGCTCAGTTAGACACAAACCCATAAAGATATAGAAATGACAATAAAAAGACAATAACTTCAAAAAGATGTAAAACAAACAAATAGACAATTATTAAAAAAGAGACAATGACCATAAAAAAGGCAACACAATCATAACGAGACACAAAATGATGACAAGACTAACCCATAAAGACAGCATACAAAACTACAAGGAGGAGTGGGGGCTTATAACCTGTGTGCGCCCAGGAGCTCATACATGATTGCACCTACATAACAACACAAACAATTTGCCTCCATGTGTTTGTGTATATGTTTGGTGTCAGAGGGCAACATTATCATGTTTAGCTTTTTAGGCTTGCTAAATAGTGTGGTTGGCCCAATAAGGGCTTGCAACTAACATTAACAGTGCTATAGCTCATACTCTATGTTTTTACATGTCCACTACCTTGCTTAATATTTGATAGAACCTAAGTTAGTTTAAACACATTTTTATTAACAAATCTGACAGGCTGCACCTAACAAATAATTTTCAATGGTTTCAGTCAGTATAAGTATTAGACATATGGCTTCTAGCAGATGGTGCAGTAAATGAAGATCTGACAGGCCCAGTAGTATGGCAGTGGAACAGTAGGCTAAGCAAGGGAAGTTAATATAGCACATTTTATTCATGCAGCAGACATTCAAGAAAAAATAAGTGTGATTTGAGTAATGGGGGGGCTGGTGCCCCAGTAGAGCTCTATGTCTAGCAATGCCCCTGGGGAGTCCACTTTGCTGTATCTAGAGCTTTCACCCCTGGTTGTTCCAAGATGACTTCACCCAGTTAACTCTGCTTGCCATGTCTTGTGCACAGTGATCTTTGCACCAGTTGATCTTATGTTTCTCTTATTTCTTTCAGGCTCACCTCTCAGGTTTTGTGCAGTAGGCTGAGGACGTGAAGAGTAAAGGTATATAGGAGGTCACGTGCATTTCTGACAATGATGCATTTGTCATGGCTGTATGGGGAAAAGAGCATGGAGCAGACAGTAAGGTACGAGCTACAACTTTAGTATGCGAGTAATGTCTGGAACTATGTGCATGATGTTTAATTTTGAGATAAAGGCTTACCACATGTTGTCATCATTGGCATCATCAGAGGATGATGATAATGTTAGCATCTTGCTAAAGAGCCATGGGCAGTTCTGCTTCCACATTCTGCTTGTAGAAAGTAAATCAGGAATTCCCATTTGTGGTAGATTTTATCTGCTAAACATTATGACACTGTACAGGGTGGTGTGCACAACAGAATCAATCTCTTAATGTTATCAATTCACTATATGTGCAGGTCATACAGAAAAATCAAAATACTGTTTCTCTCTCACCTAATGTTGAATGTCCATACTATTTAAGAAACTAAAATAGAATAAAAGTAGAATATTAAAACTGAATTCAAGTAATAAGGATAAACTAAATGGTACAAGCTAATAGGCTATGATGAAACTCAAAGCCATGTGCAAACAGTGACAGTAGTGCAAATAATACAGTGCATCCAGAAAGTATTCACAGCGCTTACCACATTTTTCCACATTTTGTTAGGTTAATTCCAAAATGGATTAAATTCATTACTGTCCTCAAAATTCTGCAAACAATACCCCATAATGACAATGTGAAAATTTTTTGTTTGAAATCTTTGCAAATTTATTAAAAATAAAAAACGAAAAAAAAATCACATGTACACAAGTATTCACAGCCTTTGCTCAATACTTTGTTGAAGCACCTTTAGCACCAATTACAGCCTCAAGTCTTTTTGAGTATGATGCTACAAGCTTGGCACAACTATTTTTTAGTAGTTTCTCCCATTCTTCCGCACAATATCTCTCAAGCTCCATCAGGTTGGATGGGGATCGTTGGTGCACAGCCATTTTCAGATCTCTCCAGAGATGTTCATTCAGCTTCAAGTCTGGGCTCTGGCTGGGCCACTCAAGGACATTCACAGAGTTGTCCCGTAGCCACTCCTTTGTTATCTTGGCTGTGGTCTTAGGGTCATTGTCCTGTTGAAAGATAAACTGTCGCCACAGTCTGAGGTCCAGAGTGACCCCAGTCTGAGGTCCAGAGCGCTCTGGAACAGGTTTTCATCAAGGATGTGTCTGTATATTGCTGCAGTCATCGGTCCCTCGATCCTGACTAGTCTCCCAGTTCCTGCCACTGAAAAACATCCCCACATCATGATGCTGCCACCACCATGCTTCACTGTAGGGATGGTATTGGCCAGGTGGTGAGTGGTGCCTGGTTTCCTCCAGACATGACGCTTGGCATTCAGGCTAAAGAGTTCAATCTTTGTTTCATCAGACCAGAGAGTTTTGTTTCTCGTGGCCTGAGAGTCCTTCGGGTGCCTTTTGGCAAACTCCAGGTGGGCTGCCATGTGCCTTTTACTGAGGAATGTTTCCATCTGACCACTCTACCATACAGGCCTGATTGGTGGAGTGCTGTAGAGATGGTTGTTCTTCTGGGAGGTTCTCCTCTCTCCACAAAGAAATGCTGGAGCTCTTTCAGAGTGACCATTGGGTTCTTGGTCACCTCCTTGACTAAGGCCCTTCTCTCTTAATCGCTCAGTTTGGCCGGGCGGCCCGCTCTAGGAAGAGTCCTGGTGGTTCCAAACGTCTTCCATTTATGGATGATGGAGGCCACTGTGCTCATTGGGATCTTCAAATGCTGCAGAAATTCTGTACCCTTCCCCAGATCTGTGCCTTGGAGATATACAGACTTCATGGCTTGGTTTGTGCTCTGGCATGCACTGTTAACTGTGGAACCTTATATAGACAGGTGTATGCCTTTCCAAATCATGTCCAATCAACTGAATTTCCCACAGGTGGACTCCAATCAAGTTGTAGAAACATCTCAAGGATGATCAGTGGAAACAGGATGCACCACAGCTCAATTTTGAGTGTCGTGGCAAAGGCTGTGAGTATTTATGTACATGTGATTTTTAAAATTTTTTATTTTTAATAAATTTGCAAAGATTTCAAACTAACTTTTTTCACATCTTCATTATGGGGCATTGTTTGTAGAATTTTGAGAACAATAATGAATTTAATCCATTTTGAAATAAGGCTGTAACATAACAAAATGTGGAAAAAGTTAAGTGCTGTTAATACTTTCTGGATACACTGTAACAAGAAGATTGTCAGGTGGTCAGCATCACCAGGGCGTTGATTATGAGATGCATCAGTGTGTCTTGTGATTTTCATCAAACTGATGACACAGCAGATGTAAAATACCTAATGACAGTTCAGATTTTAAGATTGTTTCACTTAGTGCTACTTTGTTCAGCA